GGTTCTGGATATTAGTCCTTTGCTGGATGTATAAATGGGATACTGAATTTTGTCACATGCTTTTTCTGCATCTATTGAGATAATCATATGATGTTTTGTTTTTAATTCTGTTTTTGTGGTGTGTCACATTTATTGACTTGTGTATGTTAAACCGTCTCTGCATCCCCGGTATGAAACACATTTGATCATGGTGGATTATCTTTTTGACATGCTGTTGGATTTAGTTAGGTAGTATTTTGTTGAAGACTTTTGTGTCTATGTTCATCAGGAATATTGGTCTGTAGTTTTCTTTTTCTTTTTTTTTTTTTCTTTTTTTTGGTTATGTCCTTTCCTGGTTTTGATATTAGGGTGATACTGGTTTCATAGAATGATTTAGGGCCAGTTTCCTCTTTATCTTTTGAAATAGTGTCAATAGGATGGATACCGATTCTCCTTTGAATGTCTGATAGACTCCACCTGTGAATCTGTCTGGTCCTGAACTTTTTTTTGTTGGTAACTTTTTATAACCATTTTAATCTTGCTGCATGTTATTGGTCTGTTCAGAGTTTCTATATCTTCATGGTTTAATCTAGGAGGGTGGTATGTTTCCAGGAATTTATCTATCTCTTCTAGGTTTTTTAGTTTATACAACCGAAGGTGCTCACAGTAGCCTTGAATGATCTTTTGTATTTCTGTGATATCAGTTATAATATCTCCCATTTCATTTCTAATTGAGCTTATTTGGATCTTCTATCTTCTTTTCTTAGTTAATCTCACTAATAATTTGTCAATTTTATTAATCTTTTCAAAGAACATGCTTTTTGTTTCATTTATTTTTTCATTTTGAATTTATTTAATTCTGCTCTGATCTTGGTTATTTAACTTCTTCTGCTGGGTTTGGGTTTGGTTTATTTTTCTTTCTCTTGCTCCTTGGGGTGTGACCTTAGATTGCCTATTTATGCACTTTCAGACTTTCTGATGTAGGCATTTAATGCTATGAACTTTCTTCTTAGCACTGCTTTTACTGTATTCCAGAAGTTTTGCTAGGTTGTGTTACTATCATTGTTCAGTTCAAAGAATTTTTTAATTTCCATCTTGATTTGATTGTTGACCCAATGATTTGTCAGGAGCAAGTTATTTAATTTCCATGTATTTGCACAGTTTTGAGGGCTCCTTTTGGAGTTGAATTTCAATTTTATTACACTGTGGGCTGAGAGCGCACTTGATATAATTTCAATTTTCTTAGGTTTGTTGAGACTTGTTTTGGGCCTGTCATCTAGTCTACCTTGGAGAATGTTCCATGTGCTGATGAATAGAATGTATATTCTGCAGTTGTTGGGTAGAATGTTCTGTAAATATCTGTTAAGTCCATTTGTTCTAGGGTATAGTTTAAGTCCATTGTTTCTTTGTTGACTTCCTGTCTTGATTAGCTGCCTAGTGCTGTCAGTGGAGTTCTGAAGTCCCCCACTATTACTGTGTTGCATCCATCTCATTTCTTAGGTCTAGTCATTGCTTTACAAATTTGGGAGCTCTACTGTTAGATGCATATATATTTAGGATTGTGGTGTTTTCCTGTTGCACTAGTTCTTTTATCATTATATATGTTCCTCTTTGTCCTTTTTTAACTGTTAAAGTCTGTTTTGTCTAATATAAGAATAGCTCCTGCTGCTCACTTTGGTGTCTATTTGCATGAAATATCTTTTTTCACCCCTTTGCCCTAAGTTTATACAAGTCCTTATGGTAAATTCTTATCCATTCTGCCATTCTGTATCTTTTAAGTGGAGCATCTAAGCCATTTAAGTGGAGCATGTAGGACAACACTACAATCAATGTTAGTACTGAGATGTGAGGTACTATTCTATTCACTGTACCATTTGCTACTTGAATGCCTTGTGTGTTTTTTTTTCCATTGTCTTTTTTGTAATAGATCCTGTGAGATTTATGCCTTAAGGGCATTCTATTGTTGTGTACTTTGAGGATTTGTTTCAAGATTTAGAGCTCATTTTAGCATTCCTTGTAGTGCTGGCCTGGTAGTGGCAAATTCTCTCAGCACTTGTTTGTCTGAAAAAGACTGTTGTATCTTTCCTTCATTTATGAAGCCTGGTTTTGCTGGATACAAAATGCTTGGCTGATAATTGTTTGGTTTAAGAAGAGTAAATATAGGACCCTAACCCCTTCCTGCTTATAGGGTTTCTGCTGTGAAATCTGCTGTTAATCTGATGGTTTTTCTTTATAGTTTACCTGATGCTTTTGCCTCATAGCTCTTAAGATTCTTTAGTTTGTCTTTACTTTAGATAATGTGATGACTATGTGCCAAGGTAATGACCTTTTTGCAATGAATTTCCCAGGTGTTATTTGAGCTTCTTTTATTTGGATGTCTACATCTGTAGCAGGGCTGGGAAAATTTTCCTCAATATTCCCTCTAATACATTTTCTAAACTTTTCGATTTGTCTTCTTCCTTGGGAACACCAATTATTCTTAGGTTTTGTCATTTAAACATAATCCCAAACTTTTTGGAGTCTTTTTTGATGTTTTAAATTCTTTTTTCTTTGTTGGATTGGGTTAATTCAAAAGCCTTGTCTTCAAGCTCTGAAGTTCTTTCTTCTACTTGTTCAATTCTATTGCTGAGACATTCCAGTGCATTTTGCATTTCTCTAAGTGTGTCCTTCATTTCCAAAGGTTGTGAATTTTTAAAATTTATGCTACCTATTTCACTGGAGATTTTTCCATTCATATTCTGTATGTTTTGTTTATTATTATTTCTTTAAGTTGGACTTCACCTTTCTCTGGTGCCTCCTTGATTAGCTTAATAGTAGACCTGAATTCTTTTTCTGGCAAATCAGAGATTTTGTCTTGGTTTGGATCCTTTGCTGGTGAGCTAGTATGTTCTTTATATGATCAGCATTGTTTTTTCTGCTTCCTTCTCATATGGGTAGACTATGTCGGAGGACAGATCTGGGACTCAAGGGCTGCTGCTCAGATTTTTTTGTCCCATAAAGTGCTCCCTTTACATGGTGCTCTCCCCTTCCCCCAGGATGGAGCTTCCTGAGAGCTGAAATGCAATGAGTGTTATTTCTCTTCTGGATCTAGCCACCCAGCAGAGCTTACCAGGCTCTGGGCTGGTACTGGGGGTGTTTGCACAAAGTCCTGTGATGTGAATCGTCTTCAGGTCTCTCAGCTGTGGATAGCAGAACTTGCTCCAGTGGAGGTAGTAGGGGAGTGAAGTAAACTCTGTGAGGGTCCTTGGTTGTATTTTTGTTAAGTGCACTGGTTTTGTGTTGATTGGCCTCTAGCCAGGAGGTGGCACTTTCAAGATCACATTAGCTGCAGTAGTATAGGAAGATGCAAGATTGCCCTTGGGTCAGGTAGTGTGCAGGGCCATAGAGCTTCCAAGGGATTACGTCCTTTGTTTTTAGCTACAAGGGCAGGTAGAGAAAGACCACCAAGTGAGGGAAGGGTTAGGCATGTCTGAGCTCAGCCTTTCCTTGGGCCAGGCTTGCTGCAGCTGCTGTGGGGGATGGGGGTGTGGTTCCCAGGAAAATGAATTTATGCTCCCAGGGGATTATGTCTGTCTCTTCTGGGTCACACAGGTTGCCAGGGCAATGGAGGAAAGCCAGCAGCCACAGGCCTCACCCAGCTCCCACGCAACCCACAGCCCGAAAGGCCACTCTCATTCCCACCTTGCCCCCCACCGCCAACAGCACAGAATTTATTTCCAGGCAATTGGTGAGCAGGGCTGAGAACTTGCCCCAGGCTACAAGCCTCCCAGATGAGAAAGCAAGCAGACTCACAGTTCCCTTACTGTCCCATGGAGCCCACAGCACAATCCACTTCCTTCAAACTGTGTGTGGATTCTCATTCTCTCAGCTTTCCTGGTATGTTCCTGCAGTAGTTCTTGGAGCGAAAGTTAACAATGTGAGTTTCCACGTGCTACTCTGTCCATCCGAATCGGAGCTGCAAATTAGTCTTGACTCCTATCTGCCATTTTTCTATGAGTCTCCACCAGGTTTCCATGTTTCTAAGAAAATAACATGGAAAGAAACTGTTTCTCATCTTCTCTGGGGTACTTTGAATCTGGGTGAGTTGCTGGGAACTGCAGCTCCCCTGCCTCTGGACATCAGGCTATGTGAGAAAATGTATTCCCTCACTGCTTAAGAAGCTGGTGAGAGTCTGGCTCTGTTGTCATTTGCTGTGCCCTGACCAATGCACTCATTCCAGGCTCTTTAGGAGATGGAATAGGCTACCTCCTGGAGATCTCTCCCAGTCAACTGCCATCAGAGTGAGGCTTTCTTTCCCCTTTCATCTAAGAAACATTTATTGATCACCTATTATGAACAAGGCACTTTGAAGATACCCAGTTATGTAAGGTACCAATTTGTACCCTTAAATACCTTATAGTCAAATAACAAAATATAAAAACATATACAAATAAAGCCAGTTAGGAAGTGCTGCATATTATAAAAAATACCAACAAATAAATATGCAAATATAGAACCGAGAGAAATTATTTTTAATATGTTGTTGGCATAAAAATCACAAGCTACTATGGCACATATCTGAGAGTGTAATTTTTCCCCCTGCTCTTTATTATAAAAACTACTAAATAAAGAAAATTCAAGCTCAGAACTGTCTACTATCCCATCATCTTTCATTTGTCTGTTTCCCTTCGGTGTTCATATTCAAGTTGTGCTTCTTGATAGTAGTACTTAGTAGTGGTGTATTTATATTTATGGACCATCTATTTGTTTTTATTTAATGCCATGTACATTTTCCATTTTGCTACAGTGCTTTTCCCCCATGTCTCCTTTCCCTCTTTGTTCCCACTGTTAGCCCCTGCGGTAGCCATGACAAGTCTGGCACGTATCCTTCTAGATCATTCTCCGTGTTGTCTTACTAACATGTACAGATATGTTGGTTTTGTTTTTCTACAATTGGGTCATACCATGTGAATTTCTCTGTAGCTACTTTTCTTTCTTAACAGCAGAGTGAAAGCTCTCTTTATTTTTAACCTCTATTATAGAGAGTTGCTGAATTCCCAAGTGCTCTGCATTCCTCTGATGCTCCTGGACAGCCAAGGTGCTGACAAGCTTTGGCCAGTAGGCTGCTTTCTGGTATGTTTACAACCTTCTGCTCCTGCCAGGTGACTTCTGGGCTCATCAGAGTCAGGTTGTATTGGTCCTTAAGCCTGTTTATACCACTGTATTTGTAACTGTAATTCTTTACTTTCATCAAATACTTTGTACATCATTGCAATTAGAGCAGAAAAGGAAGAACATCATGTTTCTATGAAGATCAAGTTAAATGCGCAGGAAAGATTTGCTCAATGTAGCTTTCTAAAAACATTTGCTACTCAGATGACAATAAAGATCTGGGGTATGTCAGTTACCTTTTGCTGTATAACAAACCACCCCAAAACACAGTGGCTTGGAACAGTAATGGTCTATCATTTCTCATGATTTCGTGGACTGCTGCTTTTGCCTGGACTCTCTCACAGGGCTGCATTCAGCTGGAACTGACTGGGCTGGAAAGTCCGAGATGACCTTCTCCATCTGTCTGGCAGTTGGAGCTGGCCGTCCACTGAGCCCTCACATTGCCTTTTATCCTGAACTAAATGGGCTTCCTCACATAGTGGCCTCAGGGCAGCAATCCAATAGAGCCCAAACCAGAAAGGGGCAAGGTCTCTTAAACTTTAACCTAACATCACTTTCTGTTGGCCAGAGCAAGTCCCAAGGTCATCCTCACTTCAAGGGATGGGGAATAGACTTCACCTCTTGATAGGAGGAGCAGCAACACCACATTACAGAAGCTTATGCCTCCTGGCATGGGAGGAAATTGTGGCAATATTTCACAATTTAACACGAGGGGGGATATCATAAAAACCCAGTGGTGTTCTATACTCAGATTGCTTTACCACTGCCTTTAAATTCTTACTCCATTTTAAAGAAAACAGAATTGAAAATTGTAGATTACCTATTACAGAAATGGTTTATGCAAGAAAAGTAGCATGGAATTCCACTTAGCAGACAAGGTCCAGTAAAGAGACTTGGGCCTCAGATCCAAAGAATGGCAAAGAATTCAGAGGTTTTAAGCTTTCAAGCAGTGTATCATTTTTATGACTTTTAATTGACTCTTATTCCCATTATGTTGAAAAAGAGAACTTCCATGGTGTACCAGACTTATTCTTATAGACCAGTGGCTAGAGAGACCTCTCTCTCAGACTATTTAATAGCTCCATGGAATTCCAAGATACGAATATGCCACACTTTATTTAACCAATCCCTTGCCAGCAGCTCTTCAGGTGGTTTCTTTTTTATCCTCCCACAATGAACAATGCTACAGTAAATATCAGCTTAAGTATAATATAAGCTTTTGATACTAGTGCTTTTTGTTTTTGTTTTTAGTATCTATAGGCATGAGCTCCAAAGGTGGAATTTCTGGGCTGCCTTGGGAGCTCAAGCCTACAGGTAGCTTGAGAGCAGTGGCTCATACCTGTAATCCTAACACTTTGGGAGGCCAAGACGGACAGATCACTTGAGGTCAGGAGTTCAAGACCAGTCTGGTCAACATGGTGAAACCCCGTCTCTACTAAAAATACAAAAAAAATAGCTGGGTCTGGTGGCAAGCACCTGTAATCCCAACTACTTGGGAGGCAGAGGCAGGAGGATTGCTTGAACCCAGGAGGCAGAGGTTGCAGTGAGCCGAAATCACACCACTGCACTCCAGCTTGGGCGACAGAGCGAGACTCTGACTGAAAAAAAAACAAAAGTGGAATTTCTGGGTTAAATGTCATGTGTATTTTAAATGTGAATGGATATCGACAAATTGCTTTCCAAAAAGCTCCATAGTAAATTCCCACCTCTGGTAGCAATGTATGAGAGTATATTTTTCCATTCTTTCCAGCGCTTACATTTGTCTTCTGTCACATTTACTCTGCATCTTCCAGTAATAGCATCTCTGCATCTTCCAATAATAGCATCTCGGCATCTCTACACTTTTGTATATCGTATACCCTTTGCCACACCTAGATGTCATATTTCTTCTCTCCTGCCTGGACAGCTTCTACTTGACTTTCAGAACCAAATAAAAATGCCCCCTAATTTGAGAAGCTTCCCTAACACCCCAGAGAATTACCTTGCTTTCATCTCCACTGCCTCTGTTCTCTTCATGGTCCTCTCTGCCAGCCCCGTCATTGGGCACTAATAGGATTTGGGTGTGTAGAAACCTCTCCTGCAAGACTTTAAGCTGGTAGAGGACAAGGGACATACTACAATCTTCTTGGAGTCCCCTGTGCCAGAAAATGCTCATTTATTAAGTAACATTACAATGAAGCTTTTCTACAAATATCTGGTGGATAAGGGAAGGGATTTTTTTTATTTTTAAGAGACTAATGATTGTAACTGTTCGGGCAGGGTGAGGCGAGAGGAATGTATAGTTACAGAATCTGTGGGCAAAGCATCTCGGGGCCAGAAGCGAGCCCTAGGGCACTGTGTAGACCTTGATCAGTTTAGCAATTTCTGCGATTCTGACATCCTCTCTCTGTTCTTTCCGGACTCAGGCATCCAAGGTCACCTCATTATGGCTCTGTGTGAAGACAGCACCCCAAAGGGGCCATTGATTTGGAACATCTGATCGGCTTTCTGAGTCAGAACCACTAGCTCGTAAAATCCAATAAATGTCAAAGATATGTCAGGCCCATTAACCTCTGGAGGTCTATTAAAAGACTCTGCTTCTGCTTAGGAGATTCTGTTACTGTCACATGGACACCAGGACAGCCAATTCTAAACCCCTGAATTTAGAAAGTTAGGAAGGAGATACGATTTCACATGGGATCGCCTGGTCTCTACTGGTTTTGTCATAAGACTCTGCCCTTTCTTCCACTCAGACATACAGAGTATCTGTTGGCGTGACCAGCTCTGTGACAAGTATGCTGGGGAAACATTCTAGAACGTCTTTTCCTGCCTCCAAGAAAATGAACCCAAACCCTCTTCATAATACTGCATGTACATTTCTTCTGTACAGTCTCATACAGCACTGAAGCGTTATTGTTTGCTTGCACCTGAGTCCTCTCTATTAGACTTTGACTTCCTTCAGAACTGAGTGTCATGATTTCCTGGTACGAATCAAGAGAAACCCTAATATAAATTATTACAGGAAAAAATAAACCTGCTTAACACATAAAATCAAAAAGTCTAAAGGTAAAGTTGGACTCAGGGACCCCAAAGGTGTTATCAGGAGTCTCACCTCCATCTTGTGGCTCTGCATTCCTCTGCGTTGGTTTCATCTGCAGGCAAGCCCTCCCCAGCCATGGCAAGATGGGAACTGTAGATCCACATGATGGCAAGCCTACCTTCAGCAGCTCCAGGCATCCTGCTGCCAGCCTAACACCCCTGTGAGAAAGCGTTTTTATTTTCCAATAGGGCCAGTGGATCTCCCAGGCTAATTCTTGCTGGCCCAGCATGGATCCAGTTGCCAGTTCCAGGGCATTCTTTTTGCAAAACAGTTACCATATTGTGTTGTAATTCCTGCTTTACTTGCTAGTTTTCCATTCAGAACTGTAAGTTGAATGATGGTTAAAACCAATTCCATCTTCCTAGAGCCTAGTGTAAGACCTGGCACCCAATAGGTGCAAAAGGCAGCCACTCCCAAGGCCCTGCCGAGGGCTGCCAGGGCTGTAGGTTGACACAAGGCTACCAGATCCTTCAATATTGCAAAAGCACCAAGTATTCTAAGTCCCCAGTTTTGGGAAGAAGGCAGGTGGGGAAGACACTTGCATGCCAAATCTGACCTGTGTGGGGGAGGAATTAATGAAACTAACACTGTCAAAGGTCTCCTGTGCATTATGCACTGTGGAAGTCCATTTGTACAACATCATGTTTCCAAAGTGGTTGCAAAAACATCCCCAGCCTCACATGTTCTTTTGTGAGGAGACTCCTCTGCCATGGCTATATCAGGAGGTAGAGTCCATTATGTCCTCTTCTGGAATCCTTAAGGATTCCAAGGATTGTGAGTGCTCATACAGCACTCACACCTGTTACAAGCAATAGACTATGATAGAGGTGACACTGGGTAACTTCTAAAGGTGAGCCTTTGGAGAGATGCAGCTTCCATCTTTGCCTCTTGGAATACCCCTCAGTGCCATGTCATGAGGAAGCACAAGCAGCCATGTGGAGAGGCAAGGAGGAGAAGTCAGGCTCCTAAGTGACAGCTCCAGCTGAGCTCCCAACTGGCAACCAGAGCCAACCGCCAGCCAAGTGATCAAGGACATTTGGACTTTCCAGCTTTTCCAAGGCCCCCATTGGCACCATGTGATACAAACCCAGGCAACTGACAAAACCACAAAACATCATAATTATTAACTATAATAATAATTTTAAAAATATCATTTTCTTGTCAATTCTATGGAAACAGAGACTGCGAGATGGTAAGTAGCTTTCTTCAACTCACAATTTTGATACAGTAGAGCCCCTCAGACATCCAGCCAGGATGCACTCAGGACACTTGTTTGCCAGCAGTAATGGTAGAATGGAGGAACAGAAAGGCAGACCTATTACTGCTTTAGCAAAGCCACCAAAATGCATTTCAGAGGCAGGCACTGGGTGTGTATTGAATTTTTTTGTGCTAGAACAGTAGCCTGAGCATGAGAGACACAGTCTGCACATGGTGCAATTGGGGAGGGGGTCTCTGGCAAACAGGAGAGATCTACCCCTTCTAGAAAGGCAGCTGCTACCAAGGCCTTACCTAGGGCTGCCGGGGCTGTAGGCTGGCCTAAGGCTTACAGATGCTTCAATATTTCAAAAGCACCCAGTATTATAAGTCCCTAGTTAGTTTGAATTAGGAGAAAGGGGATTGGGGAAGACATCCGGGTGCTAAATCTGACCCAAAGAACCTCACTTCTTCACTTTCAAGAGAATCATCCCAGTTTAGGGCTCTAACAGCGAAACATACCCAATGTCTTTGTTCTAATAGGACAAAAGCAATTTTTGTTTCACTATAAACTGCATAAGTGGTTGCAAAATGTTCCAATTTTTGTCCATAGTTAAGATAATTCACTGGGGACTCCGGGCCCATCTTCCACCTCCCAACAGGCTTTTGCTCCTCTTCCTTTTGCTTTTGTCATCGCTGCTTCCCAGGGAAGGCCAGTCAGGGGAAAGTCTGTCTTGAGAGGCAGGCAGCTCCTCTTTTCCCAGAACTGGCCAGCCATGGGAAGATGCACCCAGTTCCAGTCCCACCTGGAGCTTGGGCCGGCCCTGCCTGCCAGGCCCCTGAGACAATCTGGAGGGAAGTCACATTCTCTCCCCACAAGGAACCTGATGGTGCCATTGCAAGCCATGGTGAGAGAGCTGAAAACATCCCATGGAATGACTTCACTCACCAGGTCCAGGCCCCAAGGCAGAGACCTCCCTAGGGAGACAGAGCCAGGCTTATAGCAGCTACAGAGGCCCCTGGAGAGGCCTCGTCCCTGATGTTTGCTTTATGGCCATCTTCAAGCTGGCCTTTGTTTCTCTGCGTTCTGCCCATTTGCACAATGGGAAAACCCTTGCCATCTTCTCTGCCTCAGGCTGTAACTGGCGTGGCTTTTGAGAATTCTGTCCAGTATCTCACCTCCATTCACTCATTCATTTGTTGGGACCCCCTGAAAGTCATAGCAGCCCCCAGCTGAGGTTGAGAGACTGTGCGCAACTTGCTCAAGATCAAAAGGTTAGAGAACGAGCTAGACCCAGCGATTCCATTTGTTATTTATAGACTTTATGCAGCAGGCTTTTTTTTTAAAGGTAATAATGTCTACGTTCATCGTGGAAAAGTCTTCTTCCTTACCCCAATTCCCACGTGCCCAGTTCTTCTCCCCAGAGGTGGCCACTCCTACTGACCTCTTGTGTGTTATCAAAAGCAATAAAACTGCATGAAGTGGGATGGGACATGATTGGCCAGGCTCCAGGGCCACTTGGCTAATGATCATGGTTCCTTGGCAGGAGCCAGGCACACATGTAGGAGCACTGGTAGTGACCACACAGAACCTTCTCCAGGTGCTGCCATGGTCTCTGCTGGACCTGGGAGTCGGGAGCCTTGCACAGTCCACTCAGCTTTGCAGGACACACACTTCTCTTTCACTAGATGAGCTCAAGACGTTCTGATTCCATTGGCCTAGTGTGACGCCCAGGAATCTGAAATTTGAAAGCCACCTGCACAGTTCAGATGGGCCCCCATGCCTGGGCATCATACCAGGCCAATGGAATCAGAATGTCTTGAGAGAGCACAAGAATTTGTCATCTTTAGCCTCCCTACTCTAATATCCTTTAGCACACATAAAATATCACAAAAGTTTGCACATAAAGGAATGCATGTACTAGGAAACTTACTGCTGTCTTGTTTGACTTAGCATATATATTAGTCCGTTTTCATGGTGCTGATAAAGACATACCTGAATATGGACAAATTATAAAGAAAAAGAGGTTTAATGGACTCACAGTTGCACGTGGCTGGGGAAGCCTCACAATCATGGTGGAAGGTGAAAGGCACATCTTACATGGCAGCAGGAAAGAGAGAGAATGAGAGACAAGTAAAAAGGGTTGCCCCTTGTAAAACCATCAGATCTCATAAGATGTATTCACTACCATGAGAACAGTATGGGGGAACCTGTCCCCATGGTTCAATTATCTCCCAGCAGGTCCCTCCTACAACATGGTGGAACTATGGGAGCTACAATTCAAGAAGAGATTTGGGTGGGGACACAGCCAAACCATATCAGCACAGAATTGGGAAGTCCATTCACGTCCATCAATGAGGGACCAATGGCATGCAAAGGAATACTGCACAGCATTAAAAAGAAACTAGTTGGATCTTCATGTTCTGATATATTGATATATACATCCAAGACACACCAAAAGTAAGAACAGAGAACAGAATGGCATGTGCAGTGGCTGTCCCTGCTTGCATAGAATGCATTCCCCTACACATACATGGATTGCTCTCTGGACAGTAAGAAAAAAATCAGTGGCTGTTTCTGGGGTAGACACTGGGGGACTACTTACTGAATCCTATTTGGTACAGCTGGAAAGTTCTACAGTGTACACGCAAAAGAAAACTGTTCTCACGTTAGTGTCTAAAAAGCTCCCAGGTAAATCTGGTGTGCACCCAGGCTTGGTAACCACTAGCTAAGCTGATTCATTTCCACCCTTCCTCACCCCAGGATCTTTCAGCTCTAAAGCTCATGCCCTAGGATTAGTGAACAAACATATGTGATAGTAGTGGGTAAACTGTAGGGACCACCAGGAATGAGGTGTCACCAATTAGTGGCTCAGTCTGGAAAGGTCACACTGATGGAAATAAGTGCTGGGGTCATTATGTACATTTCATAATTCCTAGCCCCGGCCAGAGGATACCAAGCAAGGGCTATAACTGACTCTATGGAATAGTCAACCCCTGCTTTTTCAGAAGAAGGAAGGGGATGTATAATGGGACACACCAGCAAGCCAGATCAGAGAATACCTGCGGGACGGGTCCTGCCCAGGCGTCTGTGCCCTTTTACACATGCTGCCTTCAAGCTTCCATTTAGTGACTGCTAACTCTCAGCCAGCACTGAACCAGGCATCTTCATGGGCACTGGTCCTCTGAATCTCATACCACCATATCGTTCCCACTGAACAGACAGGAAAACTGAGGCTCAGGGGTCGCATCACTCACCTTTGAACCTAGGTCTTTCTGACTACAGAGCCTGCCTGCATCCCGCTATATGAATGACCTGAGTGAGCTCTGCGGCAATGGGGCCTGTTGCTCTGGGGTCCTGTGTTTCCAGTACTCTTTTCCAAGTTCAGCTCTCTCCGAGTCCTCAGGGATCCAGCACCATGAGGTTTACTTTCCCAGGTTCTTTCTGCCCCAAGTTCACTCACTCCAGCCCAGTGTGGGGGCAGAGATGTGGCAGAATAATGAAGGCACCTCATGGCCCCTTGATTCAAACGGACTCAGTTTGCAACCTTGGCAAGTGCCTGATCCTCCTTGGGCCTCGGTTTTTCCATGAATGCAAAGGGAATGAGAATAGTGTCTGCCGCAGGGGTCTTGTGGAGGATCAGGTGGAGGGTGAACTGCATTTGCCGGCACCAAGGGTGGCGCTGAGTAAAGGCTCATGGGTGTTTGCAGTAAGTCCTGGAATTAGTGTTCAGATTGTAAGTTTGCTGTAACACCAGTTAACCCTTCACTCTTTACCCTACTGGTAGAATAATGCCTGGTACATAGTGGGCACTTAGTAAATATTTTTTCACTGAATGAACAAATGAACCATTGACCTGCTGACTGCAGATACTGCTGACATACTGGGTGACTTTGGGCTGGTCCCGACCTCTCACTGAGCTTCGATTTCCCCATCTCCCAGTGGGTGGGACCCTTCTGCCAGGCCTCAACCCACCTAGCCTAGTTCTCTTCTGTGCCAGCCTTCAGGGATTCATGAGCATCTCACAGAAAGTTGCCCTTCTGTTTCCCTGATTATTAACCTGCAAATTAGACAAATCCATTTTTGAGTGTTCAGCGTTGCCATGGTATCATGAAGGCTTCTGCTCCCTCTACCAGGCAGCAGAGAAGTCTCTTCCTCTTCCCTGCCCCCTCCATCCACCCCTCCAGGAGGCAGCCCATTGGCCTTAAAGGGCCAGTTCTGCAAGCCCCAGAGAAAGATGCTTGCTGAAATCACAGGATGGGTGTTGCCTCCTGAAAATGTATTCATTTGGTTTTACCCTTTGGGGAGGCAAATTGTAGCTAGGAGCTGTGGAGTCAGGGTTCCCCAAGGAAGTGGAGGCTCTTTCCGATTGCAAATAATGACTAGCCCTACACCTGGCAGGCTGAACCTCATGCCACCTATACCATCCTCGTAACAAGATGACCCTAGAAACAGGCCTGGTGGGAAATGGAGTGAGCTCCAAATGGGCCCATTGACCAGAGAAACCTGCTTCTGCAAAAAGCCAGAGCATCACAGCCATTTGGCCCCTCCTGTGGGACGTCACTGAATGTTGTTTAAAATTAAGTCATGGTTGCCCTCAGAGGCCACTGCCGTGAGCTTTAGGGATGGAAATTCTTAAAGGCACTGCCATGGTAAGAGGGAAGGGCCAAAAGTTTGTATAAGTAACAAAGTTTCTGGCAAAGGTTAGTATATAATCATTGAGTGCCAGGTATCAGCTGGGTCCTGCACCAAGCATTCACACCCCCATTACGTGGATGAGGAAACTGAGGCTCAGAAGGGCACCACTTGGCTGTGGTGGTTTGTGCCATGTGGATGTGGACAGGTTAGAGCTGTGTTGAACAGAATCCCATTCCCCATTATAGCTCTGGGTCCGAGCTGGCCAAAAAAGGCATGAGAATCTAGAGGAGGGGGAGCAGCAGCCTCCACTTTGAGGCCAGCCTCACT